TATATGAAAAAAAAGAACATAACCAAGGGACAATCATTACAACATGAAAAATGCTCATGCTGCAAGACATAAATGGCTATTTAATACCATTTCACAGTTTTTTTTTTTTGCATAAATAGGTTGTGAAGGAATCAAATGTTGAGGAGATAGAGGCAGCTGAAAATAAACCAAAGAAGGGAAACACTTCTTTAACCTAACTATTAAACAGAGGTGGATGGATGTTACTGCTTCACTGCTCTGGAACAAACTTCCAGACCACTGTAAAAGTGCTGAAAGCCTGAGTTCTTTAAAGTCAAAGTTAAGTTTTGACTGTAGAAGTTAAACTCTTAACTGAGGTATTATTGGTTTAAGGTCGTTGTCCAACTGGTGGATATGTCTTACTACCTGCTTTTATCAGGTTTTTATCTTTAATTGCTTTTATTCTGCTTTTATTTTCCTTTCATTTTATTATTTTAAATTTCTCAAGGTTTGTAGAGTTTGTATTTGCATAAATAGGTTGTAAGGGAGCCAAATGTAGAGAAAAAAATAGCAGTTGAAAATAAAACACTCATAATAACCAGCATCCATACAATAAGTGATCTGAATTAGAACACAAGAGGAACAACTCTTAACCATGTACAACAACTGAAGTACCTTAATCAAGACTGAACCTATAGTGAAAGATACGTCGATGTCAACCTCACTTCTAAGATAGAAGCATGGATGGATAGAGGAGAAAAACATTATTCCCAAGTAAAAATCAAACCCTTAAACATGTTTTCACTTCCTAGAATTAGAATAATGTATTACACACAATATAAACCATGCGCAGATTCTGGTAAATAAATGATTGACATAAAAAAAAAAAAAAAATGCATTTATCCTCACTAGATGGAAAATAATGGAGTCAAGCTTCAGTACAAACAAGAAATTTAACTTACAAATAAACTATGTTTTTTTTTTCTGCTGCATTAAAACAATATCAAACAATTGGATTCGATCTTTGGTGAAGTTAGGTTTGGAGAAGCCAAAAGTACTCTAGTTAAAGAAAAAGGTATGTTATAGTAGTAGGACTAAAACTACTAGTACGTAGTTTTCAAAGACTTACTGAAATGAATTTAGGTTTCAGATGTGTTCTATTCTAACAGTCTTTGCAGAGCCCTAGATTAGTTGCTTTATTTTATAAGTGGGCAACATTAACAAACATATCCTAATTTTCCTGCTACTATTGTTTAGCATTGGCTTGATTTAGGATTGCTGCAATTTTATTTATGATTTATTTATGAATAATATATCATGATGGCATGCAGTCTGTATGAAAAAGCAGCTATAACAAACACAAACTCGAATCCTAAACTCTGAATTGATGCAGCCTCTGAGTTTTCGGTTTCACAAATGCTGCTGTGAGTTCAATCAACTCTAAGTAGGTCCACTCAGAGGTGAGCACATGCACAACAAGTATAACAGTCATCATCAGTAGAACCCTGATTCCACGAGTCACCATGACGAAATGCAAAAGGAAGTGTCTATTTCACCAAACTGGAACTGAAGATTATAAGGAAGAAATGAAAAAAAAGGAGAATGTGTTGAAAACACAGAAAAACAGCGCTAAAGCTGCAAAGGAGAGGAAGATGGTGAAGGAGAAGATTGCTGCTCAAGTTAATGTTTAAGTTTATATGAAGGCAAAAGGCCATTTCAACATTTATCAATAGCGCTCTCCTCTTAGTTGTTCCATTTTTAAATAACTGAAATAGGTGAAAATACAAGTCCTAGTTTGAACCAGAGGTGGGCAATTTATTCAGTTACCTTTACTTTAGTAATTTTGAAAATAAATTACGCTTAGGAGTAGTTTTACACCATTGTATTTTAGTGCTACTCTTACTTAGAACTGTAATAACAGATTTTCCAAACTACATTTTAGAAGGTATGTAGTTTTCTAATTATTTAATTAGATCCTCGTCTACAGAAGAGGCTATGTTTGTGTTTTTAACATCTAATATCTCTGACAGACCTAGTAAAAAAAATTTTCTTCATTCATAATGTTTGCACAAAATCATGAGACTCTGAGTCTCTGTCTCCACTGAAGCTGAGGAAACTCTCTTGGTGAAGTGCAAACTTAAGAGTTTCCATCATTTCAGGTTTAGAAAATTTAGTTTTCAGTAAACTTGCTTTGTCAAACAGATCCGTGGTCTTTATAATGAGCCAACTAAAGCTATCTATGTGTCTCTTAGTCCCTCCAAAGCCACAGCTACCATCAGTTCAGGTACCTAACAGGGAGGCAGAAAAGAAAAAACCAACCAGAAACTGGAGAAACTTCTTTTCAAAGTGGGCAGGTAAGATTCTGACATCTGAAAATATAATGACAAAGGTATTTAAAGGTATATTGTATACACTGTCACTTTATATTGCAGGTATTAGTATTAGAAATTCCATAACTGAAACAAAGCTAAGTGTTAGCTTTCTTTCTTCCCAGTCGTCATAGTGTTTTTAAATGAAAGTAATTTTTCTTATTGGTCAAAATTAGATTCACTGTTTTCTATTTTAGCACATTTTTTTTTTATAAAGGTTCATTTTAACAAATTAGGATATTGGGAAATGTTTTGCATCATTGTCACTCATTTTAGAAATGCAAACTGATATTATAAACATTGAATACACAGAAAAATGCGGCAGCAGATGATAATATGGAGGGTGGGTCATAGTTTTCTTTATTCTAGAAGGCTGTTCTCCTGATTTGCTGATGAAGGTTCCCAGTCATCCAGGTCATAGTCATTCCATAAAAATTCAAAAAATATCCACTGGACTTGGTTTCCAAGATTTAAAGACGTTTCGCCACCTCTCCAGGAAGCTTTCTCAATTCAAATGTCTGGATCCGCAGTTAGTTTGAGTCTTATGTAGACAAAGCCTTGTATCGCTTGGAAACATGCAAATGGTAACCGATGAATGGGTCATTTGGTTCCATCGTTAGCCTGTAATATCTGAACCTGTCTATGATTCTAGGGGTCGGTCGTTAAAGGGGGGGATTGCCATTAAGGGGGGGATTGTCTCCTGTAATACCTGAAACCTGTCTATGATTTTTAAGGGTTGGTCGTTAAGGAGGTATTGTTCACCGGCTGGAGCGGGTAGGTGATGGGGTGGGGGGGTTCGGTGATATCTGGAAGGGATCATGTCTATGATTGAATTGTATGTTTTTGGAAGCTGGAATCTGAGTCCACCACCTCTGTTTAAAGTTGGGTTTTCTCTCTTCACATAGATGGCTTCCTTCACGTCCCTCTCAAACCACCTATTTTCTTTATCCAGAATGTGAACATTCTGGTCCTCAAAAGAATGTCCTTTGTCCACAAGGTGTAGGTGTACTGCGGAGTCTTGTCCAGAGGAGGGCGCTCTTCTGCGTTGGGCCATGCGTCTGTGGAGAGGTTGTTTTGTTTCGCCAATATAAAGATCAGAGCATTCCTCGCTGCACTGAACAGCATACACCACTCCGCTCATATTCGGTCTGGGGGTTTTATCTTTAGGATGCACTAGCCTCTGTTTAAGGGTTTGGTTTGGCTTGAAATGTACTGGTATCTTGTGTTTGGAGAAAATCCTCTTGAGCTTTTCAGACACTCCAGCAACATAAGGGATTGTGATGTTTTTGCGTTTCACGCAACAAAAGACAGCGATGAGAAAACTAAACGCAACCTCTCCACAGACGCATGGCCCAACACAGAAGAGCGGCCTCCTCTGGACAAGACTCCGCAGTACACCTACACCTTGTGGACAAAGGACATTCTTTTGAGGACCAGAATGTCCATATTCTGGATAAAGAAAATAGGTGGTTTGAGAGGGACGTGAAGGAAGCCATCTATGTTAAGAGAGAAAAACCAACTTTAAACAGAGGTGGTGGATTCCAGCTTCCAAAAACATACAATTCAATCATAGACATGATCCCTTCCAGATATCACCGAACCCCCCACCCCATCACAGAGGAACGAGGGACCTACCCGCTCCAGCCGGTGAACAATACCTCCTTAACGACCGACTCTTAACAATCATAGACAGGGTTCAGGTATCACAGGAGATAATCCCCCCCTTAACGACAATCCCCCCCCTTTAACGACCGACCCTCAGAATCATAGACAGGTTCAGATATTACAGGCTAACGATGGAACCAAACGACCCATTCATCGGTTACCATTTGCATGTTTCCAAGCGATACAAGGCTTTGTCTACATAAGACTCAAACTAACTGCGGATCCAGACATTTGAATTGAGAAAGCTTCCTGGAGAGGTGGCAAAACGTCTTCAAATCTTGGAAACCAAGTCCAGTGGATATTTTTTGAATTTTTTATGGAATGTTCTCCTGATTTGGCTATCAATATCCCTGCATGTTTCCATGAATGTGTAATGATTTTCACATGGCAAAAAATTATCCGGAGTCAGTACAGCAGTCCAACCTTACTTTCCTAAACATGAGAGGGTTTCTTACTGCTGGCCTGAACAAAAGCTGGGAGCTGCAATTACACTGAGTCTCTGACTCCTCTTCTCTAGGAGTCCTTGCTCAGTCACTTTTAAATAAAAATCCATGCCAGAGTGTTATTTGGGGTTTTTATAACTAATATTTTATTTTAAGTAGCTTTGATTTTTTTATTATGATATTTTTATTCATTTTATTCATTTTACTGTTTTTCTAAATAAAAGGATGTTCCTATTTTAAGATGTAATGGAACAAATCGGATCTTTCTGTATGCAGAGAAGTATAAATATCTGCGTAGCAAAAATTTACAGACTTGTAACAAGGGACGGAAACACCTCACTCCTGAGATGTCTGTATCCGATCTGACATTCATATGTCAGATGTGAACTATCGCAAAACTTCTTGAGATTAAATTATTATGTCGGAACTACGGATAAGAAGCAATAGCAAAATTTAGGGTCTATCCACTCAATAATTTTTTCCTAAGGTGAAATGACTCAAAACAGAGGGACCCAGTATTCAGGCAAGACAGACAGTGGGATAACTTAAAAAGGGTTTACTTAAAATGACCAGCTGCAGATCTGTGGTATCAGCGTTCAAGGTAGGAACCACAACAGAAGAGGTTATTCACCATGATAATCTGACACAGGATGATTACGAATGCATGAGTCTATCACCTGGTTAGACAGTTCAGTCCGTGCCAAGAGAACAGTGATGATACCAGCCGGTCGGCTGACAAGACGCAGCGAACACTGCCAGAGAGTTCCAGATGATGAAACCTAGAAGGATACAGAACTGGCAGGAGGTCAGATCCAAGCAGACGAAGGAAGTCAGGCTAACCCACAGGGCAATGTCAGAAGGCAGATCCAGGTTCAGTCCACAAGAAGAATCCAACAGGAGTCCGGAGATAGGTCAGGCAAACAGATCAGACAGGAGCAGGCAGGCTCAAGGTCTGAATACAAAAACAGGTTAAGATCAGACAATCAGAACGCTATTAGAAATGCTAGAAAAACTCTCAGACCAAAGGCTCAAGAATAATATGGCACAGATGGCTGGGACCAAGCAGCTTAATTAGAGGCAGGAGCAGTTGGATCAGATGAGCAGTAAAATGATACCTGGCAGAGTTTGCCAGGTGAATGAAATGAGCAATTAAGCCAGCCATCAGCACCAAGATCATGCCATAGGGCAATATCTGGCTATAAATTGCCCCAGTTATCCATGTGCATTTAAAGAGTAGCATTCAGAAACAACCTTCTTGATAGCTGGAAAATGTCTTTCTGCCCATCTGTTCATCTCATTATTGGATGTCATTATATATAACAAAAACTAAAATTAATTAAGCTTTCTGGGCCCTATTTCACAAAACAGGGTTTTTGGTTACACACAGTATGTTCTGGGGCAAACCCCTGTATACCCTGACCATTCTGTTTCATGAAAGTAGGAAGAATTTACCCTGACTAAAATTCTGACAATAAATTATTGTAAGAAGCAACTCTATTCAGTTAAGTTTATGTACTTAAAATATTAGTAAAGTGTATCTGTTAGTTATTATATTATTTATTATACTTACTTAAACACGGTGTCTATATAAAACACAGTGTTTAATCTAACTCTGAATAAAGAATGCAATGCAGTTCTATTTCAAATGTTTCAGAAATAGCAAACAGCAACCTCCCAGTTGTGTCTTTTGCAGGCGTATAGAGCCTGTTGTTTTTTCCTCCTCTGTTTTACTGAGTGGTACTGCACTGAGCAGAGACCAAGTGAAAGTCATTGTCCTTCTCCTGGGCTTCAAGTGCTGGTTTAGAACAAGTGCACTTGGTGAGGGGCAGAGCGAACCGCAGCCAGGAAGGAAGCTGAAACACTTCTTTAAACCAACAATGGTGGACAGATGTTACTGATTATAATTCAGGTAATTTCCTACCTAATATATCAAGGTGAATTTTAAATGATTGTGCAGTATAAATAAAGGTGCCTTGCCTAACTCTTAATTTTGAAAGGTTAATAACCTATCACCCCTTAATAACCCAACAAATATAGAGGAACAGTTTCAGTTTTGGTCATTTTGGTTGTTTCTCTGACTTTTTCATATTTCCTTTATCTTATGCCACAGTTGATGTAGAGAATCCAAGCGACATCAGAATTGTTCTGATTGGGAAGACTGGCAGCGGGAAGAGCTCATCAGGAAACACTATCCTGGGAAAAAACCATTTGAAGCCAGATCAAGTCAGAGATCAGTCACAAAGAAATGTGTTAAGACAAAGACTGAAGTAGATGGTCGTTCAGTTTATGTGGTCGACACACCAGGTCTTTTTGACACCAGTTTGAGCCTCGAGGAGATCCAGGAGGAGTTGGTGGGGTGTATTAATTATGTGGCTCCAGGACCCCATGTTTTCCTGCTGGTTATACGGATTGGAAGATTCACATCAGAGGAGATACAGACATTAGAAAATATCAAAAAAATATTTGGGAAAAATTCAGAAAAGTTCACCATTGTTCTTTTAACTGGAGGAGATTCTTTGGAAGAAGAGGGTTCCACAGTTAAAGATTACATTAAAAATGAAAGTGAAGATTCTTTCAAGAAGCTGATTAAAGACTGTGGAGGAAGATACCATTTGTTTAACAATAAGGATCCAGCCAACCGTACTCAGGTCAGAGAGCTGATCAAAAAGATCGACACCATGGTGAAGGAAAATGGAGGAAGCTGCTTCACCAATGAGATGCTGCAAGAGGCCCAGGCTGCTATACAAAAGAATATGAAGAATATTCTTAAAGAGAGAGAAGAAGAAATTAAGACAAAAGTTGAAGAACTTGAAATAGACCATGAAGCAGAAATTGAGGTCTTGAAAAGAAGACTTGAAAAAGAGAGAGCAGAAAATGAACTTAAGAAAAAATATATGCTGGAAATGGAGGAAAAGATCAAGCGAGAAAATGAGCAGAGAATGAGAGAGCAGGAATATAGGGAGGAAGAAGAGAGAAGGAGGGAAATGGAAAAAGAAATGGAAAACTTAGTACTGATGGACGAGCTGGTAGCTTTGGAGGAAAAGATGCAATCAGGACTGCAAGATAGAGTAACTGAACAATTCCTGGAAAAAGAAAAACGAGAATTGGAAGAGAAAAAATGGATGATGGAGAAAGAACGACAAGAGTGGTGGGAAAAGAAACGAGAGGAAGAAAAACAGAGGAGGCTGAGAGAGCAGCTGAGAATGAATGAACTGAAAGAGGAATATGAAAAGGCTAAAAGGAATGCAGAAGAGATTCTTAAAGAACAGCATGAAAAGGAGCTCAGACATCTGAAGGAGGAGTACCAGAAAAAACAGGAAGAAATGAAAACTACATTCATTGATGAGGTTAGAAAAGAAGCAGAGAAGAAAGGATTGTCGAAATCTTTCTGGGATTTTCAATCAATCTTCAAACAAGTAGAAAAAAAAATATGCAGTGTCCAATAATCCATCTCTGTGTGACCCGAGCAGGACATGTTACCGCTACATAATCAAACTCTGGTCAGAACAATGACAACTGATAATTATACAAGAACATTAATCATTCTTTCCATACTAATTTAAAAGAAAGGCATGATCAATCTCTGGTTGGTAGAGTAACAGAGCAGGTGGACGACAAACAGCGGCTCTTGCCTTAGCCCTTGTGTCTGGGGTCTGATTCCTTCCTAGAGGTAATTTCCTGCATGTCCTCTGCTCTCTGTCTCCACCTGCTGAGCCTCTGATGAATAAATACATTTAGTGAAAATACAATAAAAGTGGGGTTACTCCATCTTTTCTTTTAATCATGAAACTGATCGACTAAATTTCCAAATGTTTAAAATTCATGTAATTTGATTTCTTTAACATCCATCCAACCATTCATTTTCCGTCACGCTTATCCCTGCGGGGGTTACGAGGGGTCCTGGTGCCTATTTTCAGCTGTCAACGGGAGAAAGGTGGGGTACACCCTGGACAGGTTGCCAGTCCATTGTACTAGAGCCAGAGTACCTGGAGACAACCGATGCATGCTTAGGGAGAACATGAAATATCCATGCAAAAAAGATCACAGGCCAGAAATCAAACCCAGAACCTTCTTTATTTTTATTTACTGTATATTTAGTGAAATAATATGGTGTTTAAAAATTCTTAAAATCCTTATAAATACAAGTATATTTGATTGTTTATGACTATGAAGCTCTTATAATTAAATGCCTAAAACTATTTCAAAAACCATATTAACCTAAGCATATTTTAAATTAGTCATGTAGCCTATGTAGGCCCTTAAGCTGTGTCTCTTATCACTGCAGTAAAATAAAAAATTTGAAAAACTGTTTAGTTTTTGTCCTTTGTGCTGTGTAATTTTTGTAATGAAATTTCAAAAAAGAAAATACTCAAATGTAGTCGACATTATCATGAGGAAAATATTGTGTCATTGCTGAGTTATTGGATCATCCAATAAACTGGTGAAGATTGGCAAGAAGGACACAATAATGGAACAAGCGACACAAAGAGCCAAGAAACGGTGCCCTGCGGAGTCTGATCCACTAATCTACTACTTTGTTTATTCTCTTCACAATAATGTTCTACAACCTTTCAGCTGCTGTGGATTTCTGAGCAGGGGGTTTCTCAATTTAGTTGATATATCATATTTTAAGGAACAATAAAAAGTTTGAAACAGAAATTGTGACATTGTGATTCAGAATAAATATATGTTCAAAGTTAATTTTGTACCTTTATTTTGGTCTTGAATTTAATTTTATGACCTTGTGAAACATATTCTTTTGATAGATTTTGGACTGATAAATAAAAAATATCCTCCTAGGATCAACAATATTTTGTTAGGAGTCTAAAAGCTTATCATTTTAAAGCCCACTCTAACAACCCGTGTATTTGGACAATGGGTCTCATGCAAGAACCGTTTCGTATGAACAAATCCCTCCCTAAATCGAAGTGATTTAGGAGAAAAAGTCTAATTACTTATTTTTGTATATTTTCTAATCTGACTGGTACAAACACATTTATGATGCTCCAGACTTCACGTAGGAGTCTTGCGCAATTAGTCAGCTGGTGTCCAGTTTAACAGGAAGCCATTAAAGAGAGGCTAAGATAGCAGAAATATGATATATCTATTTTTAACTATTATAAAAACTCTGGCTGCAGCATTTTGGATCAGCTGAAGGCTTTTAACTACAGTTTGTGGACTTCCTGATAGTAAAAAATTACAATAGTCCAGCCTTGAAGTAACAAATGCATGGACTAGTTTCTCAGCATCACCCCTGGACAGGATATTTCTAATTTTTGCAATATTCCTCAGATGAAAGAAGGAAATTCTAGAAACCTCTTTGATATGGGATTTAAATGACAGGTCCTGATCAAAAACAACACCAAGATTTTTTACTTTATTATCTGAAATCAGTTTAATCCCATCCAAATGAAGTGACTGACTAATTAGCTTCTTTTTCAAAGACTCTGGTCCAAAGACTATAACTTCTATTTAGTCTGCAATCAGAAGCAGAAAGTTAAGAGTCATCCGGGTTTTTATGTCTTCAAGATATGTCTGTAATCTATGCAATGGGTTACCTTCATCTAGATTTATAGACAGATATAGCTGAGTATCATCAGCATAACAGTTGAAAGTAATTTTATGCTGTCTAATTATTTCGAAAAATATCTAGAAATAAGTAAAGGTTTCTTAAAATTAAGTGTATTTACCCTTAATTTGAGTAGGAAAATACGATGATTTGTAAATGGAATGAGTATTTTACTCCTAAAATAAGATAAATATATAATATGGACTTGAAATTTAACAATGCATTTGTTCTTTCTGATTTTATATGTAAATGTTGATGCAATTTGATTGATTTATCTTTAACGTGATCTAACTAAAATCTGTCAGATACATAAGATTTAAACCAGTGTAGTCCAGTTACCTTAATTCCTACAAATTTAAGGTCTTTCTAAATGAATACTATCAGCAGCTGTATCAAATGCTGCACTCAGATCTTACAGGACAGGTGCAGATTTGAGTCCATTAAGATTTAGCACAATACAAACATGAGATCCAGTGTCTCCAGTTAAGGCTGTTTAAGTTTTATTATACAGCAAAAGAAATCGCCACAATTTGTGTAACAGGTTACAGTATAGTACAAGTTTTTATCACATCCATTACAAAAGCATTTGTATTGTGAAGCTGTTTTTTAAAATACATTTTCAGAAAAGGTTTTTTTCAATAAAAGGTTTTACCCGGTCAATCAATGCACCAACCTCTAAGTTTATCTCTGTAATTTAGAGGAAATGCATCGAATGAGAGAAGCTTCAAGTCATCTGTAAAATATGCAGGATCAATAAGCAGTTAGTTTTAACAGTAGCGCCTGGATTTCTTTGTCTACATAGCTGTCAGGTCTAAGCACCTAAAACATCATACATACATACATACATACAGGGAAAGAAAGCAGGTACAGAGACAATTAATTTAATTTTACTCGCGAGGAGAGTAGGAAGAGACTGCAGAATTTACAAATCTCCAACCCAATCTGCCGGTCTTCAGCTTTCTCCTTGCTATTTATTGAAGTTAGGGGATGTCCCTAATTACACAAGCTGAGGTTTAACTAAGGAAAAGGGAAACAAAATGATCTTACTTTAAACCTCAGCACATATGTTAAAACAAAGCATGTGGTTGTTTTACAATTGAATTGTTCAAAGAACACATGTTTAGAAGAAACAACCCGTCCGTTGCATGACCCTTATCTGGAACGATCTTTAGCAAGAGTTATTAAACAATGAATCGCACATTATACATCATAATGGTTCATTAGTACACAAACCATGAAACACAAACGGAGTATAAATAAAATATTTCTAACAGTAGCTTAGAGACAGTATGGCTATAAAGAGAGCATGAAGGTACTGGCAGCTGTAGCGCAGGTCAGACCTCTGTTCAGGACAATGTCATAACTGAAAAGAGAGCAAGGCCATATGTACCTACTGTGAAAAGAAAACAAAGCAGATCTTAAAGTTAAAAACTGAGAGAAGAAAGATCAGCAAATAAGCCAAATTTGAAAAGCTGTAGATGAAACTGAATTATGGAAAAGTGATCACCAGTGTTGTTTTTGTCAACAATGGTGAATTTCGTTGACACTCCTTTTTTTCATGACCATAACTAGAACTGTCGAGTTAATCATGGATCTTTGAGGAAGAAAACATGACGAAGCATGGGTGTGAGTTTTTGTTTATTGGACGAGAGGGAATAAAAGTTTTAGTGGGTGGTCTGTCATACGTTTAAAAATGCATCATTCGCTGTAAACTGTTAAAAAAGCTAAGCAGTATCAGCTGTGCTGCTGCTTCCTGTTTGGTCACCATTCACTGGTGTGCAGCGGTACATATTTTGCATGATCACAGATGGACCATGGCAGCAGCAGAGGGGGTAAGTTAAGAGTTAACTATATCTTTTGTAGCTACTGGGTCTGAAGTGAGAATAATGCTTTATTAAGTCTAATAAATATTCTGTTATGCAGTTACTTATGGCTTATGGCTTTCACAACTTCCACATGTGAAAAAAACTATACATGTAGTCTACTAGTGGTTCCCAGAATTTCTAAAAGTAGAATGGGAGGCAGATCTTTTAGTTATCAGGCTCCTCTCCTGTGGAACAAACTACCAGTTTTAGTCCGTGAGGCAGACACCCTGTCTACTTTTAAGGCTAGGCTTAAAACTTTCCTTTTTGATAAAGCTTATAGTTAGAGTGGCTCAGGTTATCCTGAGCTATCTCTATAGTTATGCTGCTATAGGCTTAGACTGCTGGAGGACATAGGGACCCCTTTTTCATCATTCCGCTTCATTCTATCTCTATTCTCCCACTCTGCAGAATCTGTGAGTTCAATCTCTAACGTTCTGCTCTCTGTGCTTTTCCTCAGAGTAGCTTTGCCTCGTCTGTTCCTGTTTGGCTGCGACTCCATCCTGGAGAGAAATATCAGCTGTGCTGCTGCCATCAACACCTTTGTTTCTAGATGTGGGAGCCTGGGCTGTTTTCCAGTGTAGTCCTGTTTCTCTGACCATGACTGGCTGGATGTGCTCTCTTCGTCCTCTGGCATGGGAGCTGGCTCACAGCTCCTCTGCCTGGCTGTGTGTTTCCTGGACGGGGCCGCCTTTACAGATGCTATTTTTATATCTGCTTCTGTCTCCTTGAACCCCAGTCAGCCTCAGCAGATGGCCGCTCACACTGAGCCTGGCTCTGCTGGACGTTTCTTCCTGTTAAAAGGGAGTTTTTTTCTCTCCACTGTCGCTACAAGCATGCTTAGTGTGAGGGATTGTATTTGAGTCAATGAGTCGATCCAATCAGCTGGTTTTCCTTAGAACACTTGAATCAATTTGACTGTATGATCTGGTCGAACTGTAAAGGGCCTTAAGATGACTTGTGTTGTGAATTTGGCGCTATATAAATAAACTGAATTGAAAAAATTTATTGAATGTAGTCAAGGTTGATAGAAAGTGTAGTGACTAGTAGTGATAGTGATTTGATAGTCCCGTTGATAGTAGTGACTAACAAATTGCTTCTGATTTTAGTCGCTTCTGGCTGCAGTAAATCCAGGTTGTAACATGCTCAAAAGGCAATGTCCAGACTGGAAGATAACTTAGGGATGCTCCTATTAATTAAACACAAACTAAGTATTGAATGAGATCCAAATTCTTGGGTGGTGGTCTATGGCAGCAAGCAAAAATAATAGCAATATTGATCAATATGTGGATATGATGCAGCAAGAACCAGTATAAAACAGGATGGTAAAAAAAATAAATAAAACATACGCTCCTCACATTGCCCTTACCTTCATACTTATTTAGATTTCCTACACAGCGCCACCAGTGGTGTCATGGAGGGATTAATGGACCTAACCCACATGCAGAACACACACACAGACTGGAATAAAAGTTCAACAGTTTATTGAAACATCAATGAATTATTCAGGCTGATGCAGGGAAACAGATACTGGTCAAACAGAGTTCTCTGCAGATGGGGACAGTTCAGTTAGCAGTCTTCCAGAGAACTTGCAGATTGTGTGTTTGCAGGTCTATACCTGATTAGAGAATGAGCAGAGCGGTGGAAGAGGGGAACCAGGAGGGTCCAGAGGTTGAAGGCAGGCAGAGGGCTAGGCAGAGGCAGGGCAGAGCAGTTAATCTTACTGAGCAGGTTCAGAGCTTCTCTCTCAGCTCTTTCTGAGAGCAGGCAGGCAGGTTTCAGACTGAGTTGGATTTCCAGGGTTCTTCTGAGAACAGACAGCTTGGTTTCACGTTTGAGAAACTCTTCCAGGTTTTCAGGTTTCCAGGCAGGTTCTTCCTGAGAAGCAGAGAGGACAAAAAGCAGATTAGGTTCAGGTACAGGCTCAAGGGGAGTCAGAGATTCAGACAGGCAGGTTGGCTCAGGCTTGCTAACTATAACTGGTTTAACACTCTGGCACTGGAGTGTTGCACTGCCACTGCTTATATGTTGGTCTCCTGATGAGCAGATGAGAAACAGCTGGTGAAGTCAGTTCCAGCTTCAGGAGACCCAGAACACCCTCTGGAGGAGAAAGGCAGACAGAACCCAGAAACCAACAGAAAAACAAACCCCAGGAAGGGATC